TTATAGTACTTAAAAACTACTTTTAAAATATATTTTCTATTTTATAATTACTTGCTTCTATACCTAAAATATAACTCCTCCTTACTTTATACGTTTATATAATTTGTCCCTATAAATATCCTACGATTTATATTACTATCGCTCTATATTAAAGAAATATACTACTCTAACCCTAATCCTATAGTTTTTAGCAAAGTTTTCGCTAAGATTTATAACCTTTTACTACGCTAATTCCTTTCCCGTCTCCCCTCTACCCTATTATACGTATATTTTATATAATAGGCCGCTCCCCTTCTATCCCCCCTAATCTTTATCTAAAAGTCGTTAAACTCTAGAATAATAATACGAGTATTACCGATATTTAAACCTTCCTTTATTTATAATAGCTATATACTTCTAAACGGACTATCCGTATAATCGTCGTAGAGAACGGTAGCGAACCCTAATAGTTATTAAAGAATAGTCTTTACGATAATCCCCTTCTTCGCATTCGAATAGCCGAACTCTTCTATTTCGAAGCTCTACTAGATACGTATATCGTAGATAAATTAAACGAGGAGGGATTTGCGATTAAGTACTATACCTTTATACGGCTTTAGCAGAGTATAGGTATTAAGAAACGACTAAGAAAAGGAGAGTTCCTTAAGCGTTAAGAGGAATATAAAAAGATTATAAAGAAGGAGATTAATCGCTCGAACCTTAGAGCATATAGAATAATATTACTATAAATATACTTCCGTATAACCGATCGTACGCGGCTTACGCTTAGTAGGTTAGTATATTTATACGATATACATCTATAGGGTAGAAAGGAGTTTACTAATATACTACTATATCGTAGGAAGTAACTATACGAGATAGCCCGCGAGGTCTATCCCGCTAGCCCGTATAATAGGGCTACGAAGTTTATACGTCGCCGTAGGAAGTATATTACGCCTAGCCCTAATATAGTTTAGAGTATAGATGCATACTATAAACTTAAGGACTATAGCTTTTAGATCTATACTACTATTAATATAGATATACGGTTTATTTTATATACCTATCTTAGACCCTCTACCCGTATAATAGTATCTATACTATCTAACTTTGCGAAAGCTTATAAAAAGCTTATAAGAGTACCTCGTATTATTCGGATAGATAAGGGTAAAGAGATACTCCTTATAGCGTAAGCTTAATACTAATACGTAAGGATTATTCTATAAGGGCCGTATAAGAGCCCTTATAATAATAGGATTAATAGAGGTAGCTAGATTAACTAACCTTAGAGAAGGGAGTATAATATAACCCGACTACTTAGCGTAGGCTTAGCGCATATATAACTCCTATGTATAGCGCACATTTAACCTACAAGAATTAGTCTTATCTCTAATCGAGTAATTACGGGTGTCTAATATATTGCTACATCTTTACCCTTATAATTCTAATTCTTCTTCCTCTCTAAGGGTAGCGATCTATTAGATCCTAACGGAATAGCCCCTAGG